CATCACCCATGGATATAAATCGATATGACGCAAGGGTCAGAGGTCACAAGTTGAAAGCCCGGATGTTTTGATTTCATTTCCCTAACGTGGTGGGTTCCCATTCAGCTGAGTGTGTTCCCTATAGTAATGAGGCGCACTTGAAAAAATCTCAGAAAATTCAAAATGATACGTTAGCATTTTGAAATTCTTTTAGTTTATCAATTCTTGTACAGCAACTTTCCTTCTGCGCACACACCCATCAACAAATAAGTTGTTTGTAACTCTGTTGTTATATGCCAACGCATGACTGTTGACGGTTTACGTTCAACAAGCCCACCTACCGGATCGGGAATAACCGAACATCAACGGAACCATCCGAACATGCAGAATGTAGAAGGGACGACTTCGGAATATTTCGGCAATTTCTGGAAAACTGGAGGAATTCCTCCAGTCCTGGTCACGTGACATTGGGTAATACCGGACCCTTGATTCGTCGGGTAGTCAGAATCATCGGTTCTGATATCCAGACTACCATCCAACCAGAATACACTTTCGTATTTTGTACCTTAGCGCGAGCAGGGACGTTGGTTGCCTGAGCTACCTCGTTCCCAATTTGTGGTTGACCGACCATCCAATAAGTCGAAACTCGGCTAATTAATGTTTTCTTATTAGCCTGGAGCAGCGCGGATGAATTTGGACTGAACTAATTCACGGACAAAACACAACTCTCTATAACGACATGTCATCGAAGCTGCTGGGGTTGACTTAATGGGGATGATTGTTTTCCTGATTCTCATGTGAGAGTGGTGATGTGAAGGATTCCAAGATTTCTCTTATCGACCTGTGCGCAAAGAATTTACATAATATAGTGCTCATAAAAATCTTACAATACTAGTTAGTACAGGGCAGAACCATTTAGAAATATATTTCATTTAGATAGCCATTACATACGCATCTTTTATAAAATTCTGTGATTGTACAACCTTCATCGTTACTCTTTTTTTGATAGTGTTTTAGACAAAAAATCTGATTGACTTTTGAAAATCTTTTTTTAAAGGTCAGACATCGAAATCCTGGTAAATCATTGACGTGACGTCATCGTCTTAATCTCCAACTTTTATATTTTTCCAACTTGAATGTGGATAATACGTACATGTTCATTTTTGTGCTTGTAATTAATTAACAAGTCATGCTACACAGACGTGACCAAGCCGGACTCAAGTCGCTTTTTGCAACTTCTGACTTAATAATTAACGTGGACTTGCAAAAAATAAAAAGACTTGATGTCATGTCTGGTACTTAACCTCCCCCGCCCACGAAGCACTCACCGCCGAGGACAAAAGACTGACCGAGGACAAGGGATGTAAACACCCTCCCATGCACACAGGCACTTTACAACACTGGACAGGGCTGAACAAAAAAGGCTTGACTACCAAGGTCAGGTGAAGAATGAATGTTTTTGTTCCCTTTGTAAGAAGCTAGCCGGAGGGGAGAGGGAAGTCAATTCTTCGAGGAAGCTCCCCCCCGAATAAAAAAACAGTCCCCGCTTTTCTTTCTTGCAGTCTCCTCCACGGCGAAAGAAAGGAAGAGATCGAGTACTGACATTTAATTTTTCTTCGCCTGGTGTATGAATGAAAAAGTCTGCGAATTATTTCGTGTAAAAGGGCCGGTCATCCGTAAAATCATGAGCGAGCTGACAAAGAAGTTTCAAAATAAACAAAATTGCATTTCCTCCGGCAGGGTTTCTTGTGTTACTCTGGGTTTTTTGTTTCGTTTTGCACACTAGCACTGAAAATGCGTTGTATTTATGTCAGACGTTCAAGGTACAAAATGGGAAATTTCCATTAGTTGGGATTTTAAAACCACTCACAAAGAAGCCGAGGCCAAATTCGTCCTGTTGTTATGTGTATTGAATCTGTACACTCACGGAGAAAACTGCCCATTTTCATGGTACCATGGACGAAAACCACAGCCAGGTCAAAGCGCGTCGTCGCAATGCATATTCGGGAGACGTTAGAAGTCCCCTTGAACCTTGCTTTTGGCTATCTTTGTACTCGCTTGGCGCAGTACGTGTGGCGTACGTAGTCGTACACAGAAAATTCAGCATGTGGAAGGATTTTGAGTCCGTTGTTGCCAATTCGTCCTGCGTGTGGACCGAGCGCCAAGTCCCACCGTCAACCGTGCCCAACGCGGATAGAAAAGGCTTCATTTTGGTGGTATCATGCACCAGGAGCAGCGCGGTGCAAAAGTCCCAACGCACCTCGATTTTTGTGTATGTTCGTATGGGATTTGTGGCACGCCCATCGCGGATCTCGGCGACAGTTCACGGAAGTGGCCCGCCTCCAGCGAATGCGTGTTTGACGGTGTGTTCTGTTCATCCGGTTGAACGTGTTTGCATAGTGGACGTCCACGCAAAAAAGGGCTTAATACGTGGGCACACAGTCCAACGAGCTACCCAATTCTTACTGCGGCCCATAGAGACGGCCTACAATCGGCTGTGCGGGTGGAAACCGCTTGTAATAAGCACAAACAGCAGAAAGTGGCTTACAAGCACCCCCATTTTAGGGGATCCCCATTCCTCGAAAAATCTGTGGCCAACCGCCGGCAATGTAATGCATTGTCAACGCGAAACGTGTAACATCCGTCACTTAATGTTCCACCGCTGGAAAACGCCAATTCACGGCAGTCTGTGCTTCCAAAGAACTCATTGCCACACACGTAAATGGGCGCTTGACAAATCGAGCGTTACCTCGTGCTCTGGACCACTTACCCCACGTTCGTAACGTTACTTTTACAATTGAGTGAACGCAGTTGCAGTAACTAGGCAAAGTGACGGTGGACCTCCAAAATAGGCTTCTTTTTACACAAGCCCCAGTCGCAAGCAGCATCACAGATTATGGACGCTTTAGTATTAATTAATATAGCGGGTACGTTCTCTCCTCCATAACTCTGTGTGCTTTGTAACTCGGGATAAATAAAGTGTGTGTGATTGATTACTTTGAGACTTCACAATTGCCCCCCTATAGAGAGGAAGTGCTTGCATATATACAGCAAGGGACAACCCACACAAGAAGACCCAAATCGTAAAATTCTTCATTAAATAAGAAATGAAAGACCAAAATGACCATGAGAAAGTTCTTTCTAACGGATATAGAAAAATCACACCAAAATCACCGACATGTTAATCGCAAAATTACCAACATCAAAATCGAAATGTTGCCAAACTATGGCCAGAAAACACGAAGTCTCAATGTCAAAATGGAGACAGTTGGCATTCAGGCGTTTCTAGAGGGGAAGGCGTAACACCCGTTTCAGACACGCGTTCCAAAGTCGAACCAAATTAAAAGCAAAGTTTGCATTAAGTACGGCAAGAGCGCGACGCCTGCGTGCTTGCAGGCAAAAAAGAGATTGACACTTCAAGGCACTCGTGACTACACCAGACCAACTTGGTTTCAAACGTCGCCGAACCCAATGCAAGTGAATTCGTCTGTCTGAAACCAAATTTTAGTTGGTCGACCCGAGAGGCTCAATTCTATTTGATTCGGCGCGACCCCTAGATAAAACACCTGCCTGAAACAGGTGTAACTTTTTTTTTTAATCCAGCATAAGATTTGTACATTGGTCTTGGTCCTCTATTTCACATTCGATCACACCCAATGATATTTAAACCTAAAAGGGCGATTTTTCAGCTGGTTTTGAAGTGGGAATTTCACTTGTGCAATTTTATTGTTTGTAATAATCTCATTGTGACGCTTTCAGGTTAGTGTGTGACTTGTTTAATCGTCTCTCCCTTGTTTTTGTAGATCAGTAGTGGGCTGGTCGTTGTTGGTTTTCTTTTCAGTGTTTTACTTTGTTATGTATCGTTATTCAGAGCCTCATTTTATCAACACGTCATACAATATTGTTTTGTTTTTATTTACAGTTTTGATCAGCTCGAGTGGAACACGGAATGTAGTGCGTCTGTGTCCCCGTATGCCACGAGGTCGAGGGCCGAGTTGAAGTGCACCCCCAAGCGGCAAAAGAAAGACAAATGAGAGTAAGTTTTCTAAGCGGGTTCTTGCACGCGTTGTGCGTGTACGCAGAGACCATTCATTGATTAATAAGGAATTAATTCGTTACGCGTACCCAGCGTCCTCCGCGTCAACACGCCATTGATCTCCACCATAAACGCGCGCCTGCGCGGTGAATAATAATAATAAAAAACCAAAACACGCCCTCTTTTGTTCCGCTCCGGGACACTGACGCACTACTTCATTCCTCGTTCCATGAGCGCGAGCGTGATAACGAATTTATCTTCAAGGAAACTTGACGCACATTAAAGAAAGTAGAGGGGCCTATGCGCGCTCTACATTAAAAAAACAAACAAAAAAGACTTATTTCAATAACAACAATAACAACAGGGCTTATACTAAGAAAGGAAATTGTTAAAATTGTACTTGCATTTAAACACATGACGATCAGCATGGGCAAACACACCAACTTTGAATTTACAGTCATGCAAATGTGCGTTTGCTTTTAGCGTACAAAATAGCGTAATGTGTTGCTTTAGAAAAGCGCATTACGAAGGGTTTAATACGAACAGTGCAATACGGTTGTTAAGTTACACTGCTTGTTGCCATGGATCGACCAATCAGCATTGAGAATTCAAGTTTGCCTGATGATAATATTCCGTATCAGGAGAGACGGTAGTAAGTCCACGGTGTAAATCATAAGTAAAATGTTAAATCATACAAAGGACATACGCGACATTTCTTCACATGAACGATGGTGTCGCTATACATATCTTGTTTTATATCCATAACATAGAGAGATCCATTTCAAGATACCTCCAAACAATCAATTAATGCCTTCAAACGGTTAGGCATGTTTCAAAGGTATCTTGTATGATAATCGGAGATATCTTGAAATGATTAGACATATCTTGAAGAAGTGGAAGGAAAATAGAGTAATTTGACATGATTAAAAGGGGCCCCCTTTTACTTAAAAAAGTCACTTTTTGTTTAAAATATTGGTTGATTGTTTTTAAACTCACCTGAGCCCATTGACTCCATGCGCTGGTGGTGGCTTCATATCCCGGATCATGTTGAGGGCGTAGAGGGTATCGTAAGTTTTGAACATGGTGTAAAAGAATATAACGTCCTGCAGATGCAAACAAAATGTAGGTAACATTATAGCTAATAAATTGTCAAGCATACAAAGAATTTACAAAAGCGTCTATCACGTTGTTGTTGTTGTTTTGCACCAAAGCCTTTTTCGCTTTGCACCAGTGAGGCCCGAGTTCGAGTCGCGGCTTGGCCCAAGCTTTAAGTGCATTTGGTTTCCAGTCCATACTCGCTCTCGCAGGTTTTCTCCGGGCACTCCGGTTTCCTCCTGCCTCTAAAACTGGACCTTCGTCCTAACTCCGTAATGTGATGCTGATTAATAAAGTGTATGAATAAACGTACAGTTATTGGCGCAAATAGCCTGAGTTGCTGGAAGCGCCTTTAAAACAACATCTATCAACGTACCTTGTCCACAACATCAGGTACGTGCTCAGACTCGGGGAAGAAGGTGTAGAAGGTGGTTTTCGTTCCCACGTTTTGGGCGTGCGATCCCTTCGAAATGGCTCGGTTCAACCTGCAGTAACCACCCCAACGAAAGTTAAGGAACACACAAGGTATCATAAACACGGGGCTGCATTTCATGGAAAATTTGACTTTGAGCCAATGGAACCATAATAATGCAAAATCCCCTAAAAATCTTTCATTTCTGTGATTTTCTGCATATGAGTGGAAATCTAAGGCACATTTTGTCTTTAAAAACTTGCAGAAAGTTGCATCCTCGTTTTTATTGTCAACATTTGAGCTGCTAAAATGAAAACAAAATTTGGTATTTTCAAGGCCCTTCTCCCCCAATGTCCTGACTTCATTTTTTTGCAGGCCTGGTTAATAAAAGCATCGAGGTATAAAACAGGTTGTTAATTATATTCATCTGGGATTCGACAAAACAGAATTCATAATGCAACAATCTGAAGAGACACTGTGCAAAGCTTTTGTCCCACAGAAATACAGAGCAGACCTTTCGTAATAAAAACAGCTTTCTGAGAGATGGCTGCCATGCACAACCCCTGCTTAAAAAGGCGGGAACATGACGCACCGAAACACGTAGTCGTGGCTGTCGATTTCTTTCCCGGCACCAGACCCGTTCAGGATGCCCCCGCAGCCTACCACCGCACACCTGATGCAAGCCTGACTCGATCGCTGCAGGGGTAGGTCAGGGTTGGCGAAGTTCGGATGGCCGATGATGTCGTTGAAAACTGCAAATAAGGGTAATAAAACACTGTCAATTTCATTGTTGTACTTACATAAATCTTTTTTGTTTTAGCTAAAAAAAAACAAAAACAAAAACAAACAACCCAACACCCCAACCAACCCAACAAACAAACAACCCAACAAACAAACAAACAAACAAACACACACAGATGCAGGGATGTCTCAAGAGCCCGAAAAGTCTTCAGCGCTTTCATAATTATACAAATGATGAGCCTGTCGAAAATTACCTCTTAAATGTCGAGTCTATTTTCGGCATTTCCTTCAAGATATTGTTCGAAACCACTCCGACAAGCTTCAATTAATGTAATACATGAAAAAGCATACATCTCAGCTGTTGTATTTTGCTCTTAATAGGCTCGTGTTTAATTGCCCTTTGAATACTTTTTCTAGACAAAAAAGCTTCAGGCGAGCAGAAGGCTATGTCCACCCAGGCTTTACGAACAACATAAAGCGCATCTTTTTAACTTTGGCTGATTTTTTAAAATCATTTTTCCCATTCACTGGATTTCACCACCACAGTAGAATTTAGCTTTCAGAGGATAGTTAAAGATTCTGTTGGTGTGGTCATATCTGATAACACCTTGAAGTATTGTTTTTAACATTACAGTGTTTTGAATTTGTATAAAAAACCCCAAACCTGACCATTAAAAAGGTGACATTAAAAAAAGTTAAATTTTGGGCCCCGTAGAAAAATTTTAACACCCCTTAAATACTGTGTCGTGGGTCCGCCCTTCTCAGCAACTTACAGCATTAAACTCAGCAGTCAACTTACGTGAATTGTTCATTCCTCGGACCCCAAAGGGAAGCACGTACTGTTTGAGGGCATCGTAGTTGCGCAAGTCCTCCTTGTCCAGAAACACCTTAACGCCCGGTCTGAATCGATCCCGAAACCACTTGGAATACTTGCTCACGGAGGACAGGGTTTTCGGACACCCCTGATAGTAAAAGGGGGGTTTAATACACGCGGAAAGGAATTACCGGGGACATATTCGAGGCTCGTTGACTCCTTAGATAGTGTTCCTCTTTTATTATTCTAATTTTTCAGCGCATTTTACTGAGCTGCTGAGATCGTTGACATTACGCCTACATTCCTTGCACTCCCACTCCCATAATAATCTTTCATGTCCGCTTACGTTGTCAAAGGCCAAGAATACAAAGAGTGCACTTCCTAGAATTAGGAAAACTCCTTCCATATATAGCCAAGTATTTCCACTGGCGCGTAAAGCAATATGACACCACAGGAAAAAAAACCCATAAGAATCCCAACTGAGCATATGCTGACAAAAGACAAAATAATTGGCTCAGATGGCTTTCACAATGCCAGCACTGGGAACGTGAAAGCAGACACGAAAGGCCAAATCTTTTCACGTCTGTTTTTCATGTTTATTTAACGCACACAGCCTTACATGTGTATACTTGTGGGGTATTTCCTTGTTCTAAAAACTCCCACACAACACGGACAAAATTTCAAATCACTGCCATTTCAACCAAATTCAGTTTCCTGGGTTGAAATCTCGACCGTACGTCCCTTATATAAAACACTTCAATGGGCGACGGATGAATTGCACTTGAAAACTCCTCCTTGTTGAGTAAATTTGAAATATCTATTTCGTGAAATTCTTGTGGGGCACCACTTTAGTGCCCAACAAGGATCAAAATTGGCCTTGTGGGGGTACCTTCCATTGGTCGGGCACCTCAGACAAGGCACCATGTACACACACACCGTCGTGTGCTCCGTGATATTCGGGTGTGGGCCAAAGAATAAATCATCCGTCGCTGTATCGAACACACTGCCACGATCAGACAGTACGGGTAAACACACCCATGGAGGCTTCAATGCCGTTGAATCGAAATATTCAAACCTTTAAGCACTGGGGTTGTTTGCCAAAATGAAATCCTTAAAACAGAGTAGCTTCTTCAAGATTTGTGGTAAATGAACACTCCGCCCATTCTGATAGGGAGTTTGACGGAGAAAATGAGAACGAAAAGGGACGTGATGATGTTCCCAGTTCCGAGTCCCGCCGCGATAAAACTTTCCCCGGACACAAGACCTAAATAGGGGTTTTCTGAACACACTTGATGTTCAGGATTACTGAAAGTCAAAACAGTTGATCTCACAAAAGGTTGACACGATGTTTTATATCAATGGAAAAAAACCTAAAAAAACTAAAAACAACAAAAAAAGACTTCTTACCGATGGCTTGTAAAAACGATCTTTGGTGAAGGGCAGCTTGCCAAGATTTCTCTTGGACTTCTCCTGCTGCTCCTTCTTTTTCTTCTTCTCTACCTCCATCTCGACATCTTTAATCCTCTCTTCCTTCATCTCGACGTCCTTGTTCTCCCGGACTGGAGGGGTTTGGAGCGGTCCTTTCTTTTCCGAGATTGAACCGAGTTGGATCTCCTCCCTGCGTTCCACATCGGTGATGGCGTGGTTCAGTTGTGCTCTGTTGTGGACCACGATCACAACCACCGCAAGCAAGCCGTACAGGATTATTGTGGCCAAGAAAGCGCGGTTCAAATATCGCAGCGTGGTCATCTTTGGCGGGCGTCTGACATCAATCCGGAACGGCGATTGGCTGAGTGCCGGATGTCTTGTGGATGACATCTCAGCATTCGTCCAAGTAGGGTGCAGCTCAAAAATATCAGTTACTTTTGAAGATCATAGGTTGACCAGTCAGCCTCTGCCGAATGCCGTTTGCATGGAAGGGAACTTCAAAGACTGCCTTCGCCTTGTGTCGCCATCAGAGATTCGAAGCTTCAAATCTTAAATGTGGGCTTGCTGCACACGTGTGGCTTAATACGATCAAATTGTCCAATAGAACAACAGCTCAGATATACTCCTTCCCTTGGTTGATGATGGATTTATTTCTAGCGTCAAATGACAAGAAAACTTTTCAGCAACGAACCATTTTCAAGACACAATGTACTCTTTAGGAATAAATTCAACCTTGCTTGAGAGAGCACCAAGTTGAACGCCGAGCCTTGCGTCTAGTGTGTCACGTGCTCCCAAGTTATTTTTTGATTTAAAAACCGATTGGAAATCAGGCCTAAATCAGCGCAGAATTCTGTCAACGTGGCGGCCGTGTTTTCGCAAGCGCGCATGCGATCCACATACTCGGCCACAGCTGACTTTGTTCCCAGGCCTATCATGAGGATTGTAGCCGAACAGATGTTGGATTTTTTTATTTTTTGACTCCTCAGGGTCGATATTGACCATACAGATCGATGCATGTCACACTCACTTACCCACAGCATATATACACCTACACAACGGTGGATCCTGAACCTTTTTTTTTTTGAGGGAGACATTTTCTTGGGAACCAAACAATTTGGGTAATCCCTTCTTCGTTGCCCCAGTCACGATTCCCAAGAGGTGTAGCATGTGTTCATGTGTGAACCTGTATCTCTTTTGCACGTGCAATTTTGGACGTGCATTATATTTTGCATGAAAAGTGCAAAACGGACAAGGCTTGCACTGATCAACGAGTCGTTTATTCCCCTGAACGCCACACCGCTTAAATGGTAAATGGTGTTGGAAGGAACTCTTCGACGTTCATAAATTTCGTCAAAAAGGAGTTGTCAGCAAATGATGAAGCACGGTGGCTCAACGAAATTTTGAAAGTGGTCGACAAAACACGCACTTGCTGGTTCACGATATAAAGACTCTCTCACATTATGTCGACTCAGTGATGCATGCGCAGGTGGCCGCGCAGTGGCGCAAGGCACTGGGTTTCATCACCGACCCGATTGCACAATTGCCCGTGCATGACAAACCCCGGTATGTACATTATACAGCGAAGGCCTACCTGTTCGGGCTTCAAGCCAGGAACGTTATATTCGCACAGCGCTAAAATCAGTGCAACTCCGTTATGCACACTTTGGTGCGGCGGAATGCAACAACATAAGCAGAGGGATCGTTCTATAAATCCAGGGTCCAAAAGTGTGACATTTTTGTGTCCCGGCCTGTTACACCTGACCTGCGTAATTAGACATGGAAATAGCTACCACTGAAATTGATTTCAAACTGTTTCTGGCAGGTAATTTGCATAAATCAGAGAACGTGCTTTGAACTTACAAAATTATACGTCAGATCTGACAGGTACATGAAAAAAACTGGACCCCTAATAAACCAAGAGGTTTTAGCACACCAAGCCAGTTACAGATTAATACACACATACATGTATGTCTTCTAAAACTAAACACATTTGTGCACAAAAAAAATCTGGGTGTATGAGGGTGTGGTGTGGTGCAGTCACATAAAACAGATGAGATTAGAAACTTTTCATGTTGGAGGTAGCAGTTAAACTAAATAGATTTGCGGTAGCACCATGGATATATCTCTTTTGTTTTTAGTACATGGGGTTCTGACAAGAACTAATGGTACTCAAATAAAAAAGTCATCTTAATATGGAAGGCACGCTCGACGTGCATGGGGGGGGGGGGCGGGGGACCACGCAGTGACCCCCTTGACGATATGAAGTACATGTCTGCCGAACTTCGACAACTCGAGAATCATGAAACGATCCGAAATGGTGGACATATATATATCTGAGGGTTACTTCACAGAACCAAACTGCCATTTGCGCGCATGCATTTGCGGCTTTGATGTCTTTATTTCGATGTCTCAGTGCTGGTATTTTAGAGCGGTCGACTCTAGTGAAGCACGAATTTTCCGCATGACGATCGCCTGGGTCAAGCGGTATAGTTTGCTGGCCCATGTAAGCACTCGATTCACACTCGCCGTTCGAACTGCAATGTTTCATTGTATATACATACATGCATACATATATGTATAAGGCTGTAAATAATCGAGCACTTTAACCAACGTTAAATATAACGAATATTTTGATGCATAATCAACAAAGAACGCTGGGATGTGAAACAAGAACCTTATCAGCTGAACTTGCCCCCGGACTTAAATCAACTGTGCTGCATGTCATGACACACTCCGAACTGCGCGCAGTCACACACAGCATTTTTTTATCCATTTTGTTTTGTTTTTTTTTCCACGGTGTGGGAAGTCGAATCAAATAAGGCGGGTCATTCAGTCTCAAGTGCTGTACGTTCCGGCTTCAGAACAACTGTAACCTTCAAGGTACGGTACGCTGTCGACTCATTAATGAACGTGATGTTAAATTTTGCACTCACCTGCGTCGCCGTTTTGGAGTTGATGACGTAGATGTCGTGGCTGCCTAGTGCTGTCTGGTTATTGGTTTGGTTCCACACTCGTATATAAAAACACCGCCGTGTCAAGGTTAACTTTGTACAGAAATGGCTGTGTACTTTCGCTGTATTGTGACTTGTATATCGCGTTTTTTTGGCAAGCCGCGGGTAGGCCTAGGAGTTCCTGCCTCTTTGTTGTAAAAGGAAAACTTTTTAAAGTCTTATAGGCCTATATGATCTGCGTATTGTGCTATCTTTTGAAGAAAATATATGCACCAAGTGGCACTACATTTTTGAGAAAAAAAATTATATGTTATTTTTGTTTCCCTTTGTGGGTGTGGATGACAGTCCGTTAGTTACCGAACAAAGACACCCCCCCCAACTGTGGAAAAATTGCCCCAACAGATTAGCATTGATAAACATCGGTCTGCCGTTGGCTGCCAACTGCCCAGACCCCGTTCCCATGGTGAAGCTGTTCATTGTCAACAGTTAAAGGATGCAGGATACATTGGGGTGTAATTTCTGTTGACAGCGCGTCGGGTAAATAGCTACCGCTCCCACGCGACGAACAATAGTTTGCCTCGAAAGAGAAATTATTTCTCGTCAGTGACCGCTGCTTCTGGGACATCAGTCCCACCCTAACGGATCTTATTTCACGGACCACGAGGAAGGAACAAATTAGCGGCTATATTTTGAGTGAGCTTTGACTTTTTTCGTGGAAATCGTCGTTACCGCAGTTGCAAGGAAAGGGGCACGTGCTCACTTTCTGTAAAGATTTGCATACCGACGTCGCGGACTGCTTCTCAAAGGAAATGATATAATTTCCAATGTGTTCGCACATAATTCCTCAGCTTGAAATCGTCAGGTCTAGAAATTACGTGAGTTCTGCCAAGGAAACACTCGATGCGACGGTGCTGGCCACGAGGACAATAACTTTTCTCGTCGAGGAAAGGTTTTTCTGGGAACACGTTTCAGTTAAATAACAGCTGCTATACATGAAATGAAATTTTTAAATGTACACAGCTATGCACAGAGCCTGAGTACTACAGTGCATTCATAATGAATTTGCTTTCAAAAGGTTTTTAAAGGTGTGAACACGAAGGGTCTATTTGTAAAACAAGTTTTAGAAACTCGAAGAACTTCAAACTTGACCCAATGCGCGTTTGGAAAGGGTCGACAAATTTCGCGCGTTGTGATTGGCCAACGCGTTGCAAACTCTTGGAGGCTCACTATTGGGAATCACCCGTATTCTCAATAAAAAGGTTACGTGTTGTCATGATGTGTAATAAAAGACAACGACAAAGATGACAAGGCGGCACCGACAACCAAAATAAAACAAACTAAAAAACAAAAGCAACAGATAAACAAAAGCATAAAAGTGAAAACCAACAAACAGACCTAACCAAAAAACAACTACACGAAACAAACAACAAACAAACGACCCCAAAACACACGTGAAAAAGAGGTAACAAGAAACGAGGGAGTGGTTTCAACATATTTTCATCAAATCCTATTCTTATTTCATGGCATTGAGAAGGATTTAACCGTAACTAACAAGGTTTTTTAATGAAATGACTCAAATCACTGTCACAAAAAATTTAAAAATTTTAGAATTTTAAAATGCGATCTGGTTGAAGTTCAAAAAAACAAAATGACATGAATACACAACAGAACGCACTTGCGTATCACTCCACAGTATTTACTGGGGTGGAAAATTGTGCCAGAAAGAGATAATATTGATAAACAGAGAATCTTTCCTGTGTAACCGCTTAACGGTGAACACTCACCGACAAATCGATCCCCGCTATAGCGGTTATCGCGATAAGCTGTATCCGCGCGCTTCCACGGTCCACAGACAATAAGACAGAGGTTGTCATAATGGATTTTGTTGGCTTTGCTGATGACGAGCAATATCAAAGTCCAACCAGCGAGCTATATTTATGGCGTATCAACGCCCTCTCATCGATGGAATAGGAAACACGTACGAGTTGACGTGGCAGAGCCTTTTCCAAACGAAAACAACGACACGATCATGGAAAGACTGAAAAAAACGCAACGAACGCTGCAGCTGAGAAATTTGGAGATTTTTTTTTAACTTTACCGAGTTTGTACCAGGTAAATCATGGCGGCCGCGTTGCGCCTGGTGGGATCTCTATGGGGCAAACTTCTATTCTGTGGTCTTCTTATTTCTTCGGTCGTCTACGCGTTTCTCGCCTGGACCAGGGTGGCGAAGGTGGGCCTCGGGCTCCCGCAAAACGACGTACCGTCCCTTCACCGTCTCTCCCTCGTTCACCCGACGGGAGGCGTCAGCCGGCCGGGCAACGTCTCTGGCGTGCACGTAGAGCACTTGCTGGAAAGGATCCGGACCCTGGAGGCGCGACTGGAGGCCAAAGCGAGGAGGCAGACGACCAGTGACCAGACCGTCCACGGTCGGCAGCTGAACCACAGTAATCGTCGGGTTTTTTACAATGACCTGAAAACCTATCCATTCCAGGAGGATCCACGTTACAAAGAATCGGTAAGTCTCACGTGAAGGAGGAAAAGGCTTTCCGAGCAATGACACATTCCTAAACCAACAGCATATCGGGGTATCGCTTCACCACCAACAACGATAAAGTGAGCATGTCATAGGCCACCTAAAATATTCAGAAATGAACTGCCTTTTCACAAGAAATAAATTTTCCCGACAACATACCCGGCACAAAGTGACCTGTAACATCCGTGGCGTATACACCAGTTTAAAATCGGGGGACCCTGGGGTGAACTTTTTTTTTTAAGGCTGCGTTTTAAAATGTGCGCGCTAAAACCCCTTCGAAAGTTGCCTTCACGTGACCAAAACTTACTTCAAAAAATGAAATTGCCACATGATCTGGATATATTCAGTTTTATTAAGCCCTATCGGAATAGCCTGGTTCTGTGCTGTATGATATTTTGCCCAAGGTCTATTAGGTTTATACCCAGAGAGTGACCCGGATTTAGCTTTCATGTTAATTTTTTGGTCCTCAATCTGCCCCAGACTTGTCCAAAGACGGTCTCCTCCATAGCACAATACTCGAAATGGTTCAAGGATCGCTACACACCCAAGATCAAGACGTTTCTGGATGAAGACGACATCGCCCATTTCACCGACATCTCCAGGCACGACCTACCGTTTGGATATCGGCGACAGAGCAAAGACCGTAAGCGTACCACACGACAGATCAAAGCAAATCGACAATCCTTGTTGAACTACCCTCATCGGTGTTTCGCTCGTTCCCACCGATAGGATGGGCTAATTTGTTAAGGAAACATGACGCAATATTCCCCTTAGCTCTAATTGGATGGTCGTATGGACGCATTTCATGCTTTCTGTTTTTACGTGAAACGTGCGCACCAAGCGTATAATGCATAGGTTAGGAGAGTGAGAAATCTTCAAAGCTTTGTAATACGTCTGTATTTCCTTTACACACTTTTGTGGAGGAAATGAACCTGTCCCAACACCCTGCGATGGTTGCGAGCGAGAGAGGTTGAGGTCGGGAACTTTGCAGAAAGCTATACCCCTTGACAATTCAAAATCACGGTACAGGGCCCAATCGCATGGGCCCGTTCAAACGTAGAAATTTTCTGTCACTAACCTTTTGCCCATGTATCGGAACCGAAAGCTTTAATGATCAAAGCAAACAACACCCTCATTTTCAGAGGTAGGATTCAATTTTCACATTAGCATGCACCCGAATCTGTTGTCTAGAATTAAGTCTAGGAATTCACTCCACTGGAATACGTGGAAACGCTAAGACAATAGACCTAGCCGTAGCTCCGGAAGCCCGTTTCAGACGCGGCCTTAGTGACAGAGTAGAAGTTGAGATGCACCGCGGGTCTTGGGGGGGGGCAATACGCTTACGATTACCAGATGAATTTTTGTCACGTTGGAAAATCTTTAAGCAACAGCAAAAATTTGCCGTAAGAGGGATGCATCTCAATGTTACTCGTTGCAGCTCTGTGTCATTTGGCTGTGACTAGTTTGGCTTGTACAATTATTGTCTCCAAGTGCATTGCTGAAAGCAACAAATTCTTTCATTGTATGATCCCACAAAATGAAGTTAAAAGCAATCGCACTAGTTGTTCTATTTTGCATTAGATCGAGTCGAATGAGCTCTTTGTTTCGAACAGCTCAATTTTGCGTCCTGGTGAAATTGGGTGAAAAATGTCGACGGTCCCGTTGATTTACATGGTGCATGATTCATTCAAAGGCCTGTGACTTTAGAGCGGTTCTGGCGACTTGCCACTCTCTTTGTCGGGACCGGTCTCATGTCTGTTCTTTTTTGACGCACGCAGTCCTCGAGAAGATCCTGACACATCCCAGCTTCACGAACGCACCGCTCTTCCCAGCCAGCACGCGGAAGCAATGCCTCCGGTGTGCCGTGGTCGGCTGCGGTGGGATTCTCAAAGATTCTGGGGCCGGACAGGAGATCGACAGCCACGACCACGTGTTCAGGTGCGGTAACAACTTTCTTCGACAGTTGTCCCCCCAAACTGACTCAACTTTGCTCACCCCTGCCAAAAAATGGGACCTGCGCAAATTCTTTGCTTCTTTGCTGAACAGGTTTCCAACCATTCTCTGAGGGAACATTCACTGTATGGAATAAAATGCGTGGGCACTAAGCATACATAAAAAAATCCATATTACTTGTCCGGGTGCAGTCTTACGGAACCACTCTTTGTTGGCGTGGGAAAAACATTGCGCTGCATGTATCGGTTAGGATCCCATGTCGTGGTCAAGTGAAACCGATTCCCCTTTTGGAAACTCACGTACTAGTCAATGACAAGTATAAGCTCAGAGACCAAACAATTATGTCAGCGCGAGACACACAACCCGGGAAGCCATAGCTTAATCACGGCCCCACGCGTGTTAGCTCGTGTGCATTGGGCATGTCGATGGGCAAAGTTGACAACAGCTTTGGGCTGACTTGTCTCGGAAAAATCGGCATTTTGCGAGAACGGCGTGTCTGATTTTCACAAACTTGGTGTGCGATGATTGCCACGCCTTCTTGACAAAAACAGACTCATGAAGGCTCGTCGCGGGAGAAACACAAACCGGCTTAAAACACATTTCTGCACGATTACACTCAGCATTTGCGTGAACTGAAGTCCGGTTAAATTTCACATGTCAAATACAATCTGTCGAGGTAAGGCCGGTGGGGTTGTACACATACACGATAATGATCGACAAGGAATAAGAAAAAAAGTTATAGCGAGCTGTTTCAATCTGAAATTTGATTACTAATTTTCGTATGCTTCTGTGCGCAATCTGCGCTGCTGAGGTTGTAAAAACCAGGAATTATGACTTGAAATGCTGTTTTACAGAAGAAATACTTGCATTGTGAAGAAAGTGTTTTTAATACCATATAAACTTTTTATAAGAGCCTGTTACTTGACAACAAAGACCAGATAGCAGGCTGGTTCTGCACATGCGTGGAAAGCAGACAAAACCAGACGAATGTTAACCATACTAGGGTGCCAAATCATGTACGCTTTTCTCCTCCCATAAGGATTTGCCTATAACGGTTCATCTTAATTGAATACTCTGTTTCAGATTAAACCACGCGGTGTCGGCTGGCAGGTTCGAGAGGGATGTTGGTAAAAAAACCAGCTTTTACATATTCTTTCCAGAATCTATGAGCATCAGAAGCCTTTTAGACAAGGTGGGTTTCTCGGGGGTTGCGCCAAAAAAGCAAAACAAAAACAAAAAATATCCACCCTGCGCATGCGCTGTATTTTAAAACTTGTGCGTTCCTCTTTAGTACAAATTACTTTCCAAACGGTAGTAATGATAATAACAAGCACTTGTAAAGCGCCATCTATCTAGCAAACTATTCCAAGGCGCTGTTTTATCATTATCCCTGCACATTGGGCTCACATATCATCAGAACATTCCTGAAACCATCTCAGCTCCCTGGGGAGTATACTATACTAGCCCGGTGCTGCCCTTTCGGCGCAAACGGCCAAATAACCGTGCCTGCCCTCACAGGTACCCATTTACTCCTGGGTGGAGAGAGGGCACACAGGGGTAAAGTGATTTGCCCATATTGCAGGACCACAACATTCTGCTACCAACTGGATTCTAACCCCTGACCCTATGAACAGAAGCTACAAACCCTAACCACTAGGCCACATGCCTCCCCATTATACGGTGTTTTCTTCCACTTTTTTTTCCAGAATGTAACATTCATCTACACAATGTTCAAAAAGTATGACATGAACTACGCGGTTAATATGCTAAATAGAGAAAAACCACCAGACTACATTTATGGCAGCGGTCAGAGAATGTGAGTATATTGGCAAGGGACAACTGTAGCATTATAGTTTTGAACATCAAAGTCCCCTGTAGATTATGTACTAGCCTTACACGAAAGTCTCATCACCGAGATAGTCAATCCAGCATAAATGAGCCTTTTGCGAATTAAACTTGCATAAAATCTGGCACACTGAGTTGTCTAATTGCACATAAATGTAACAGTTTAAATTCCACAGACTAAAGACACTGTTGCTATACCTCGTGATTCGGGGCAAGCTTCGTGCATAGCGACCACCATCTCTGGAATGGACTGGTTCCTTTGTGCCATTCTTATCCATTGGGAATAGTGTAATTGTTGCAAGGCGTCTCTTATGTAACTAAGCAAAAGCTTGCCCCGAATCACGACGCAACAGCGTCTTTAAAATGGAGAATTCAAATTCATGTGAATTTAAAGATTTAACTCAGTGTGCGAGATTTTATTCAAATTTATCTCGCAAAGGGCTTATTAAACCAATCAGCAGACAGCTTTCACCTATGGCTACCCGATGCCTCCTGTCCTTTGTAGGGCAACACATGGTAACTCCCACCTCTCGACATAATTGCAGTCATGTCGAGAAAACTGACACCTAAATTCAATCAGTGCCTTCAGGTCTTTTCCCGCTTTTCCCCCCACGAAACAGGACTCTCCAAACGCCCAACGTGGACCCTGCGAAACTTAAAATCGTCCATCCCGATTTCTTCCGCTATGTCTTTGCTGAATATCTGGACGCAGTCGCCTACAGACCAACCACAGGTAAAAAAAATAAATTATTACATGTACTGATAAATACCTTACCTGAAGTTGTTATCACAGCGCCCCCATTCAGTACAGATCCCACGTTAAGGGTGCTCCAGCTCCCTGAGCCCCCCCCCCCGTGTGCGCCACTGTCCAAACAAAAATACGATTTACTGAGCATATTACCTCCGAGATGTGCTTAATGATTTGCTGGCAACTTCGGCAGGAGCAATGGTGGTGTTTTTGGCCCTGCACATCTGCGACGAGGTCACTATCTACGGCTTCGGCTACGACCCTCGCTTCACGATGCACTACTACGACACCACCTTCGTCAAACACACCGACAGCTCGACTGGCTCCCACGACGTCGACAACGAGCGCCACCTGTGGCAGAAACTACATGACGAGGGCGTCATCCGGATGTTCAAGAGAGACCCGTAGAGCACACTAGTGTCTGGGGATATATGGACCATGTACTTTCCTATGGGAAGACGGTTTTAATGCCAGTCTTGAGAGGAGACTAGTCTTCACGCCTTGCAGAATCTTCCCTGTTGAAATGTCAGGCTTCCCTTTGGAAACAATTCCTCCAGAGCCATGATAATAGCCTTTACTCATGTCGAATTTCCCCAGGTTCTTCAAAAAATTCCCCACCCGTATACCTTGTCGCGTACCCCTCCCTCCTCGTGGAACAGAACATGCTTTCCCGATGAGCTGAGGTCGGCACTGTCTATTACGGCCTTAGCTACCCACAATGCACTGCAAGGTCTGCACTTCGCTAGATTGTGATGAATTGGGCGGGGGATACGTCAACTGAACCACAGACAGGAGTGTGTTCTTAAGACAAGCAAGGAAAATGTGACTTCACTATGAAGATAGCACTTAATAATCATCTGAAACGCAAGCACGTCTCTTGTTTGGTAGCAGAACCATGTTCTAATTATCACTGGATGGGGAGGGGGCAAAACCGTGACGAGGAAAATTTGTATTTCTGAAATATAACGTGTACAGAAGGATGACTGGGTGAACATTTCATTTCCCTACCTTCCAAAAGTGTCTTAAAAAGCACCCCAAATTAATAATAGCCTCACCCCTCAGAGAGGCCACGAAGAAATTCTGTCCCGAAAACATTTTGAACACCCCCCTCCCCTATCTGGTGCTGGATCCGCCCTTGTGTATATAGAGCTCACTTCCTCCAAAGGCCAGGACCGAATTACAAGAAGGGATGGATGAGATGCAGATACATGAAAAGTGAATCACTGCAATATCCTGATACGGTCATTTTTAAAAGACACTTCAAGAGGAATTACGAGACGTCAAGGTAAAAATTGAAATTGCAACCAAATTACACATGTACATGCATTTCCTCACTCACACAAACAGTTGCATCGCTAGATGGTTATTTGTACACTAACTTTAAATAAATAACTACTCGGGGCTTGAGCACAAGTCTCTCAATTAAGAATATGCAAAAATGCAATACAATATCTTTTTGAAAAATAAACTCAGTAATTACTTATAGTTGAACATCGGTAATAAAAGCACAGTTAAAAGATCGTCCATCTTATAACAAAGAAAATTTATCTCCCAACTCTTTTTACTCCTTGTTCTCCAATACTGATCATATAAGGTGCTTGTAACAACAAGGTGATTCGTATAGTTCGATTGTAGGCCCCATATTGAGGCTATCATTAAGAAAATCGCTCAACAGTTTTAATTGGTGACAACCCCACCGCCGGGAACCAGCTAAAACCGTGAACTCCAAACTCAGCAGGTTTGCGCTGTGCTTGATAGTGCACAGGAAACCACGTTGGCTGAGAACCAGAAAGAATTTTCGCAGCTTCCTTTCGTTACTTCACAGTGGCATTTTTTCCAAACCAGTGGGTTTCAACAGTCCGTTACCACTGCCTCAGTGCGGCGGATATTTTAATTAAAAACATACCTTGGCAATAGTCCCGAGTATATAGAAAAACAAAAATTTTACGAGCACACAAAAAGTATACATGTATTTGGTTTCAAAAGTATACATTTGGTCAAATCTTTGGAGCTCTGGCAAACTATGGGCGGTCGCAAAGTAAAATAATTCAAAGAAGTTTAAATATACTGTTGGTGTAAAATTGAGAATACAATTTACTAAGAAACAGGTGCTAACTAAATGGCATCTAAACACAAGGGGGCCCCCAAATATACCATTTTGGATAGAACACCTTGTCAACCACAGGATGAAATTGTTGGCCTATAACACTCGCCGTCAGGCTTAAAGGTTTGTACAGTAAAGAAAGGTATCTTACTAATCTGATTAGACGCCATAACTGCGGTGGCACCGCACTCACACGCACATTCATCAGCTTGACGCGCGCATGCATTTGGCAAATCACGACACCCTAGTGGTCGAAGAGGCCCATGTAACGCGCGCGTACCACCTGTCCACGAGCGTTGTGCCACCGCAGTAATGGCTTCTAATTTTGGTTGTCGAATTACACTGTAGAACTCTATCATGATACTGCCATGTTTGTCTTGTTCCCTGTAGACCCATTGGCAATAGTGACACACTTTCACATACATGTATTGATAAAATGGAACAAACTATTTTCCCTTCCAGCCATCAGTTTGGTTACATTAGATTCAATGGTAGGAAAGCAAGATGGCTGCTCCATAAGTGAGGAGACACCATTACTCCGGGGGCGCCGGCAAACCACGGCACCCTGTTGGTTGAAGAGGCGCGCAACCCCCCTGCACCCTCCGAGCGAGAGCGTGGTGCATTCACTGAAACGACTAAAAGTGGCCAGATTAAAGTGTACAAAGCAGCAGTGGATACATATGGCACTTGGAGGCTTGCGCAACATCTGTCTAAAAGTTTGGCATCGTTTTTTTGTCTGTGCACACCCAGAGCAAAGCAAAATCACTGCATGCTCCCCCTTGTCATTTCCTAAAGTGCACGATCGCAAAAACAAAAGGCTAATTTGATATTTTGGGGCTCATCGGGCCAACTACAAGAGCCCAATCATGATAGGTCCCTTTTGAATAATCGGATGGCGCCCTCATCGTGCAGTTTCAGCCACAGCTCTCGCTCTGTGTTCACGCTGTGCATTATGGTCAAGTTCCGATGGTGCTTAATGAACACCCTGTCATAATAGTGCAACGTGAACTCAGGACTGTACCCAAAACCGTAGACTGCGACCTCGTCACAGATATGCAGAGCAATGAATACTGTAATGGCTCCTGTCAGGGAACAAGACCAAGGAGAGAATTTTATTTCCTTAAAACATACACCAAAGAATATGTAAATATAACACTAGTGCGCCCTTAGCATGACTACCAGTCGATTTTTGGGCCACTAAATGACGATGATTGGGCAATTGAAGATGACGAGGTTAAAGTGAAGTATTAAGAAAAACTAACGACAAGGACTGTAAGATTAACCCTAACCCTCCTCAATCCTTCACCTGTTGGAGGACTGAGGAGTGTTAGGGTTAAAAAAGATGTCGAGTGAAATGGTAGGTTGGAGGCCTTAGTAATGGAGAAATTACAGGAATTATTGAGGGCGCTTAACTTGTCGACGGTAATCGAGCCTTTTCAGGCCGACGAGACTAGCACTGTGTCAGGAAAGACCAGGATCGGAGATGAATATTGAAGCATCTGTTGAGACTTATTTGTGAGGTTGGTGAGGCTTCCAAGGTTTTATAATGAAAGTTGATCAGGCAAATAAGTTCAGTTGGCTATCATCAATCAATATTAATGTCTTCGACATGACGCTGGACTTTACAGTATATCAATTATTTTGTTCGAGTGGCAATACTATACACCTGAGGACACGAGAAAGGGAAAACTATAGACGTACCTGTCGTCGGTCTGAATTTCTTGACAAAAAACTTTTGGTGACGTACAGGAAAAACTCCGGATGAATCAGCTTCAGCCTGCTAGGATCGATATCGGAGGGCTTTGTTCCACTGTAAAGAAACGATGTTTGATTGATTGAATTTTGGGACCAGCTGAGCACGACTGAAAGCCACTGCATCTGCTAATCACCCACAAACGTGACCCTTAAGGGGCCTACATTACAAAAGACCACGACGCCTGGTACAATGGGTAATAGGTATAGGAAGTCGTCAAACTTTGATTTAAAAAAAAGCCACGCTGGAATCGGTATGACGACAACTGTGCATGGAAAGTGGCAGCCCCCAAACAAGAAGAAAGAAATGGCGGTAATTTTACGTGAATATACACCTCGTTGTGTTGGTTACAGCGTGTTCCCTTCCGTTAGGGTCCGACGAACGGTTCATTTTGCTACACTGAGCGCTTGCCTACAGCAAGGCAACCGATCTCATGGGAAAAGTGTTGACGTCATGCCCCTCCTTACTAACAAGCAAACCAGACGGCGCCTAATCTTTTTTTTTCTGGTGTAACTTACATTTTACAGTTTACTGTCAATATTTTTTTTCAGTAACAACCATGTCCCAAGTTCAAGTCAATGTATAGAGGAAGGCTTTACTTTTCCTGGTGAACCTCCTGTCACCTGACCAACGCATTCATTGTTCCTGTGCTTAAACCTTCCAGAGGGGCGGCTGGAAGAAACTCCAAATCTAAGCAACTTAACTGATCTTCTAAAGAGCTCAAGAGTGACATGAGAACAGTGGCACGGAATGGGGAATGGCCTTCAGGTTCAAGTGGGAGGTGCGATGCTCCTCTCGTTTCCCTCTGTTGTTGTTTTCTGATCAAACAGTTAAGTTTACGCTGCTTATAAACACTGGCGGCACTCTGAAAATAGATTTCACCGTGAGCGTACAAAACAGCCCAAAGAAAGGCGGAAAACAGTAGTTGGCGACAAAATGATGGAAATCGCCCAGAGAGTGGCGCCAGCACGTAAAGTATACGCGCAAATTTGCCGTCGGCATAGGCACAACTTTTTCTACTGTCCCAGGGCTGTCCTGTGCTCAAAACAATCGCTCCAAAAATTCAGATCGGAAAGAGGAAAAGAGCCGCGTCCAATAGGAACTCGGGTGAAATCTCTGCCTAGTTGCCCGAGCAAAATTTCCCTCGAACTTGTCTTGTCCGAGTTCCTCGTCTCAATCGTGAATTTACACCCATACTTTCACCCTTCGGTATTCAGAGAGCTGGCCCAACAATGCCTCATGGACACTGCTGATATTTGATGGTTTCAGGGGTCAGCGGTCTGGGGCCCTGACTGCATCAGACCATTATCGACGCCCTCGATCTATAACGTTGGCATTCTTGGTTCCAACTAAACCCTCTTGTTTTTTTCCCGAGCCTGTTCTTCGTCGCAACTCGGAAATTTTATTTTGGCCAACGTCTCTGCAAAAGTTCATTATTATCAATTTCACGGTGTGTTCGGTTTGGAGATATTGGTAACCGAGTATCGATTCCCTTTGACTTGTATTCGACTTGCAAGACCTGCAGAACAAGGTCATCGTCCTGTAAGATTGCGCTACTGTTGATCAAGACGTTTTTAGTACTACATACATTGTGGATATTTGTCCGGAAACAAAGTTTTCATCAGAGAAGGCCGGTACTAATTTGGCAGGAATTTTCATTTTAGTCTTTCACAGATGCCTCTTAGTTTCCAAAAATGACCAAGGTCCATTGTCCCCTGCTCATTTTGGCAAAACTACCAGGAACTGTAAAATACAAAACAGCTGTCAAATGCTTGCCGCCTATATACGGTGACCCTAAATACAAATCGAGAATGTTCAGGGACCTGACGTTTTTAACCGAACAGAATCTTTCTCAAAGGAAGAAACAGAATAACAACACCACTAATAATGCATTTTCCGCGACAGCGCCCATTAGATTTTGTCTGCGTCACGCATGATTTTCCTCGATCTGACCCAGGCTTGCTTCGGCACAAAGTCTCTTGTTTGCCAGCGGGTTCTGACCACAGACAGTACTAAAAAGTACTGTTGGCAGCTGAATAGGTCAGTTCCTAGACAAACCATATCCTTGACCACGTCACACCCTAACAACAAAGGCTAGATTAACGGTGACCCACCAATCGGACAATAATCCTTGAGAGCGCCTCTGAAAAAAGGCTGAGTCCTTCTCATTTTGGCAAAAAATAAAAGATCCATTATCGAAATTTCGAAATCAACATACAGTCATGTCGCGTATTACTTACTTGTTAGTCACATGATTTGTGTCGTCTGTCTGATTTAATATTTGCAAAGCATAGTTCACATCGAAAGGCTTGAACACGGCGTAAAAAGCGAGCACCGCCTGGTGAGGAAAAATACACCAATGACAATAAGGAGATGGAGAAAATATATCACTTTTGCGATGAGCCAAACAAGATTTTTAAGGTTGTAAAATAACAGAAAAATAATATCAGGCCTTTAAAACTAACAACCTAAAGTTTTGGACATTCCAGGCCTTCGTAGTAATATGTTCCAAGCCTGATGTACTTCTTCTCTGGCAACTAAGGTGAATTTCAATGATAATTGTGATCGCTGCATTAGTTCGAAACTCTGCAAAAAATGCTAGTTACTTGGGCGGTTCATGCACATTTTAGCCTTGTATATCACCACACTCCAAACTAATGAATAAAGGAGTTAGAACGACCGGATCTGTTGGTGAACGGAGTGTTTACCTTTTCACGTGTGCTGAAGTTTTGCGACTTCGGGTAAAAAGTGTAGAAGGAGGTCCTTTTGCCGACATCTTCGGCAAATCTCTCAGATAAATCGACTTGATTCATTCTGCAAACAATTGTATTGAACAATTATTTTAAGGCAATTAGATAGAGAGTATTAAAATCCAGTTTCAAGTCGTAATAATTAGTCGAGGGGATTCAATGTTGCTGTGGACCAAAATCCAACACTGCATGCAGAAAAACACCTGTCGGTGTAAACTTTTTTCCGTGCCGACAAGACTTACTCGGTGCCAAAAATGGCAGTATTTACACCGTCATATCTTGACAAAGTAAAGCAAGACAGAGTGAAAAGGATTATGCACATGAAAAGTTGTCATTTTTAGACAGCTGTAAAACCTCATCACCACGGGAGGGTTGATTTTTGTGTGTCTGTTGTCACCTGAAAACGTAGTCGTGGCTGTCGATTTCGAGGCCGGCCCCGGAACCGTTCAAGATGCCCCCGGCGCCCACCACGGCACAGCTGATGCAGCCTTGCCTCTCGTCTCGGACGTGAACCGAGGGGTTCGTGAAGTTTTCATGCAGCAAAATATCACTGACGTCTTGGACCAGAACGTATGATGAGATATTTAAAAAAAAGAGGATCGCTGAGATAACAAAGTAAACCCCAAAGTATGATCACAGGTTTACAGGTGCAGGAAATGAAACCGGAAAAGTTCAGAGACAATTTCAGCCTATAGAGCAATACATAAAAATGGGTACAGTTGAAAGACGACCGTGATTGCGTCCAATCACTGTTAGGCTAGATTCAGATTGTAGAGCTGGTTGACTTAACTCAACAAAATATGCCAAGTAATATCACATCTTTTCCCCGTTTTCTTTTTTTTGTGTGGCAAATTTCAAACTACCAACAAATTTACAAACAGTACTCAAGTGTCGGGCATTTTGGTTTGTTTGGCAGGTGATTTGTAGTATTCATTCCTGAAACTGAAGGAATGCGTTCTAAACATGAAAAAAAATCGTACAGGGACTGAAGATATTGATTCCCAGACTTAGAGAATGAAACGCAGCGACGGTTGGCTGAGCAAAGTGATAACAGGTATCAGGGCATTAAACTTTCAGAGCCACGCATGACGATATCGCAATCAACATTTGCCCTCACCTTTTCGTTTTATGCCTTTGTATCCATACGGTGGGTTGCGGAGGGAGATTCTCCGGAGGTTTTTGAGGTCCTCCACGTCCAGGAATATTTTGGCGTTGGGCTTGAACCTGTCATGGAACCACTTGGAGTACTTGGTCAGGGACGCTATCGTTCTTGTGCATTTCTGAAGTAGGACATTGAGACTGATTAAATTGTGTGCATGTAGTAGAATAATCAAGACTATACCATCACTTTGCGGACTCTGGTAATGATCAATGACGTTAATACTTTCACATGCATGTGTTTAGTGAGGGTTTAGTGAACAGGGGTCAGAGTTCATACCCTGGGGAAGTTCGATCAAGGACCACTAGTTCACTAATTAGTGGTTGCTTCGTGATGTACCTTGCGCTTGTGCAGTGAAGTTGAAGTGCGAACGACCCTAGTCAACCGTTGTCAGGTCGTTAGGCCGAGGGGGAGAAAGGGGGTCGCAGGAAGGTCTTAGTAGCAAAAATTGCAGTGAAAATGGTCATTTGCTAGTGACACACTGTTTTTTTTTCCGGCATTTTTCTTATAACTGGTCCTCTATGTACTCTGCTATTAAAATTGGTCTATGGCAACCAACGACGCAACCAACCTCGGTATAGGCTGGTCGCGAATAGTTGACTATAGACTGGTCCAACCATTGTCGACTAAAGTGCGTTCGATCAGAGATAGTAGTCGAACTGTGGTTAACTATGGTCCTTCATCGAACTTGCCCCTTGACAGAGTCCCGTTTTTTGGATCATCTCACAGCCGAGGGCGCCCCCTAGAACTCAGCTTTCCGATGCCCAATCTTTTTGAAATGTGACGTTATGCAAAACACTTTAATTTCAGGTAAAACAATCAATAAGATACCCTGTAGAGCTTTGTGGTTATGGGTCGCCTGTAGTTTTGGGCCACACGCTCGTCGGCCCTCGTACATTAAGCGCGTCGATGGGAAACGTTGATACTCTTAACTGACCTGTCTCAGAAGTTCCAATTTTCACAAAATACTTTTGTCAATGATCGCAAGACGTTACTGTTAGCTCGGGACAATTTTTTTCTGCGAGGCCAACAATAAATATGAAGATCATTTTGCACTTACTTTTGGCTGCTCCGGATGAGATTGGTGATTCTCTCTCTTCTCTTGTTGATTGTCGCGATTCAAATCGTTCGACTGGCCATTCGTCCTGTGGCCAGCCTGACCAAGCGGGTTCTCCAGGCCTATCCCTCCCTCCAGAGGATCAGTCTCAACTTTGGAATCCGGTGGCTGGACGACAACCGACTCCAGGCCACCCTCCTGGTAGGCCAAGATCACCTGTTTGCTGGAGATCTGGGGCTGCAAATGGATCAGTGCGATCGTGCCGGCCAGCACGAACGCCGCGTAGCAGTACAGCGCGTTGGTCAGGAACGACTGCAGGCGGGCTTTCCGCCCTGACAAACGCCTCACTTTCCCGAGGACATGCCAGATCATGGCTGGCGAAGCTGGATGTGGTTGAAGCGCAGATTTGACAGCACAGTGGAAGCATCAAACGGTTCAAACCTTGTTATGAAGCTGATACGAGCGTTAGTTTTTGGGCACTATCTTCTAAATCACTGGAAACGCGCGGAGTCGAACACGTTTGACCAAGGACCAAAAACAAAGTTACGTCCGGCAACTTCATGAACAGGTTTTTTGCTGGCTGAGAAGGCTTTCATCTCAAACGGTCCGAAAGCGTCACTCTCCATCGGCTTTCCTCTATTTCTCTCCTGGATAAACGGACGATAATCCAAGCCTTGCTCACGCTGCTTAACATAGACAAAACAAAACATAACCAAATAAACACAAAAATCCCCACTAAAATTGAACAGTGAAATATAAACCATAAGCCTCTAAACCACACAATTACATATCTTGGTCTCCTCTATTTGAGTTTACCCAAAGATCAGTTCAAAATAACTTAGCAAAGTTCAAATACGTATGAGTACACCGAATTACACGAGTCATCACATATTTCAGATTTTTTGGAAGTGGGAGATTACCTTTTGGTACGATATAGCTCTTTCCAAAAATCAAATATGCCATGAAAAACTTCACGAGGGCCTTTTTGTAACGGATTTTATTTTCAGAAGCAAATGGACGACAAGTAATTGCCAGTTCCAACGTTTGTGCACGCTATTTATTCCCATCCAAGGGTTCTGGACGCGCGCCAGTAGAGGTCAACTTTCAGATTCTGCCAGAGACAAGTTTTTGTGTCCCACGTGGGCAAGGAGAGCTAGCTTGGCAACAGGTAAGTTGCCTCTTCGGTTTGCTAGATAGAAGGCAGTGAAGCAATCAGACGAATGCAGGCAATAAATCTAACATAAGGTTAGACTTTGAACCTATAACTTTAAATCCGGCACACTGCACAAAGTGTACACTTGAGACCTTTTGATTCTAACAAAGAAGTCGCACAATAATACAAAGACTGCTGTATGAGTACCAAATTGTTTTTTGGTGAGTTCTTCGTGTGCGAGAATGAGCAAACAGAAATGGGCTGCTGCAAGTCGCCAATTCAAAGGAACTGAATTAATTTTTTCAAACTTTTTTAGTATTCTGCCAAAAAAATAAGGTAGATCTATACCCGAGGGTTCATAGATCTCGGGGAGAGGGTACACATTATTCATCGCAAAAATTAAATGTGGAACTATTCTGTAACTTTGAACTGACATTTAAATGTAACTTAGTATAAATCAATATACCATATTTATAAGAAGTGTACGATAAGTGCCCAAAATTTACGTCGACCACGGACGTTTTGCCACACCGTTACGTAAAAGTTGTTGCGTGTAATATAACATGCATAAAGGTATTAGTCACGAGGTATTTCGATTCACGACGGGCGTATATAGTACCAAAGTGTGACGTCACTGTGAACCAGAAAGTGCAGTGCAAACGAATGGAATACGCGCGCGTGTTGGTTCACGCGCGCCCGTACTCCATTCTTTTGCACTGCACCTTCTGGTTCACAGTGATGTCACACGTCGGTAAAGATGAAAAATTAAAAAAAATCACAAACTTCATTACGGTTACGATCTGGTACTTCTGCTGAATTGTGTACATGTCTGTCTCACTGACTCTGTGCAAAAGCTAATGGCCTGCAATAAAGTTGATTGTGTATCATACATGTAATGCTTCAAATCATCCTAAATTCATCTCAAGAGACAGCGCGTTGAACTTCCTCGGCCTCAAGAGTGGCTTTGGCTAAACATTGTCCATCACCATTCCTTAGGCAGGTTGAAGCATTTAAATAAGTTTAAACTGATGGCGATGAAGCGTGAAGAGAAACTGTTTATTTTGCCGAGGAGAGGTTTTTGCAGCCTATACAAGTGAAACTAATAAAGTTAATGTGGCGTAAGGGGTGAAATTTGTGGGCGGGACAAGACAAACTCCAGACCGTAGTTCTTGTACACTCAAGCATTTCAAATGGAAGGGGAAGGGGGGAGGGACAGGCTACCGCTGGGCGTTTTTCACCTCCCTTCCCATGGTCACAAGCCACGGTGTTCAAATGTGAATGTTCCCCCCCAAAAAAACTACACGAATTCTCCCTCTACCTTTTGCCAGAAGACGGTCAAAGAATCTCCACAGTGGATAGTCAATGAAGCTCGGAATGTGCAAGAACAAACATCCAATCCGGGAACAGACTAGAAACATAACACGCAGGCTAGGCCCATCTTCTCTGGGCTGTAAACTCCATGCCGGGTTGCCATGTCACTCGGCGAGTCTAGCAGTGCAACTTTCCTCAGTGTTCCACAGTTGAACAGAAGTTTGACCCCTTCGATCTGCCACGCGCAGAGACTTTGACTGTCGAACGACAAAGGTCACCTCTATCCGAGAGTTAGTTTGCTCAGTGCAGTTAATTTGCATACAGATGTTTGGTCATGCGCGCTCTGTCCCCGTGTGCGACGAGATTTTTGAATATATAAATTTCCCGGACTTTGAACGCGTCGCTGAGGGCTTGGGACATTTGATAAATGCTAAATGAAATCAGGAAAAAAGTCTTCAGGCACAGTAAAAAAAAAACAACCCAATACCACCAACAAAAAACCACGGTGTGTGTACTGCCTTTGTAGGTATAATAAACCTGGGCACGAGCCTACCGTGCAATGCTCATTCGGTTATTGACTTTCTGACGTCGAGACTATTCATTTCGATACAGAGGGCGTGCCAACTATTAGGCGGACAAGACACCAATGCCACTGAAAACGTCTGTTTAATGGTTGTCGTATGGTATTCGAGTTCGGTAGAAAATTTCAATCTGCATCAATAAGTTACAAATAGTCCACAAGAATTCCGCACACGCCATTTGGTGTGCACAGTTCCGTGTGACCTTGCTTAATTTTTTTTTTCTAATTTCAAATATTTCTCGGTATTCTTCCTTGTTTTCAAACTGTGCACCGATTAATTTCCGTGGATTATAAACCCTTGCTCTTCCCCATTACTTGGAGCTCCACTTTCCTCTTTATCCAAAGGACGGATTGGGGGGGGGGGGCGGGGGACAAGGGCCGCCCCCCATGGAGTCAAAAATAGAACGGCAGTTTTTACTCTATTTCATCTCTCTTTGTTTCAAAGCGTTTAAAAAGTCACAAAATGCTGCCCCACCCAATAAAGGACAGAGAAGGCTACATACCAAAATGTCCAAAATGTTTGGTCCCCCCACACAAAAACTTTTTGCCCCTCCCCCGAAACTTTGGTTCTTGATCCGCCCTCGTTATATCCCTGAACCATTAGCGATCTTTCTTTTGTTTACAAACACTATATGACCGTCTCGTGGCGGCCGGAGTTTGCAGAAAAGATCCCTCATTTGCAGCAGTTGTTGCCAACAAACATTCAGATATGTTCCCATTGTATTCATAAGGGAAAAAAACAATGTATTTCTACAATAAGCTTCACTGGTGTTCATAGGTACACTGTAGATTCACAGTAGTATTTTATTTGAAAGGGCATGGTACCCTCGTTTGTTTTTTTGGTTCATTTTCATTTTTCATTTTTTAAAAATTTTACATGTTATATTCCGGCCACAGGCGATACGATTCGGGAAAGTGTTTTTTTTTTCCGATATCGGCTCCGTCTCACATATCAATACCGGCCTTTAGGCCAACAAGACTGTTCAAATTAAACAGGAAAAATTCACGATTTGCCTCGACGATGGGACTTAGTTCGGGCGTTAATTGGTTGAAACGGAGCGCACAACCAACGCCAGAGTCAGGGGGTTAAAGTATCGGGTGAAGCCAGAGACGGACCAGAGAATGAGTGGTTTACCGGCTTGATCTCTCAATTAAAAAACTGGCAGCCACCGGTTTTCTATTTATAATTTCACGGCTGTACAACCAAGTGCTCGTGCCGATGTTGTAGCCAATTAATGGAGAAACAGCAAATTTGTTAACAACATGTCAGTCCCCAAACTCAGTCACGGTACCTGCATGGTTTTCCAGTTTTCATAAATTCGTATATATAGCATTAGTCACTGTGCGACAGTCGAACGATGTCGAGGCACAAGTTTTCTGAATAAATATCTTTGGCTTTATGTTATTATTGTCTGCAGGTTCAGCATTTCAAGCATTCAGATTTTTTTTATATAAACAGTCATCAAAATTGAATTCTGATGTTCCAGGTCGGCTAGGACTCTTTCCGTCTAGTATCACGCCTTCTCTACATGCTGGGTCACAAGTCTCTCTTGAAAAGCCTGATGGCACCTTCCTCGTGGAGTTTGTGCCACAGTTTTCGCTCGTTGTCTACGTCGTGGGTGCCCGTTGAGGCCCGTGTGTGCACCACGAACTTGGTGTCGTAGTAGTGCATGGTGAAGCGAGGGTCGTAGCCGAAGCCGTAGATGGTGACCTCGTCGCAGATGTGGAGAGCTAGGAACACCACCAGCGCGCCTGTCAAATTCGAGAACGAAAAACTCTCCAATAAACTAGCGTGCCAGGAACTGGTTTCCCGTGGTATTTGGCTACGGCTGCTTCTGCAGTGCCAGCATACTTGGCGGAGACCTAGCCCTAGCTCTGGACAACTGACTCGACGGCTTCCTTCAGCCGGCCGCGAATGGTTCTACAGGGCGCCCTCAACCGACAGACCAGCTGTTTCTATCGGATGAGGAAGGTTAAGTTGTCAGATTTGTTATGGCTCTCTTTGTCATGATCAACCTGTGCCCGCACAGTTTAGCTGAACTGTCTGTATAAAGGTCAACATATGTACATATGTATTTGTATGATGCACAATTGATGCACGGCTAGTTTAAATTTCAGCTACTCAAAATTGGTTGTGCTAACCCAGTTAGGGGGATAATTAATTTCCGATTCATTTTTCACCCCCGGAAATGGGTAATTACTAACCATTTTTTAAAATCAGAATAAACCAGAAATTAATGTTCAATCACCGACAACTCAAGGGTAGCTGCAATTTTTACCCCTTCTTGAGTCCAAATTAACCTGGGCAATCTTCATGTGAAATGTACCTGTGGTCGGTCTGTAGGCTTTGCTGTCCAAAAAAGTCTTGAAGACGTAGGTGAAGAAATTGGGGTGAACAAATTTCACCCTGGTGGGACTCACGACAGGTGTCCTGACGCCACTGTTACAAAAATGGGACAGATCCAGCGGTTGATTGGGTGAAGGTCGGGTGGAAGAAGTCCTACAATACATGCTCCTGGAGCTGTTCAAGTTCTGATGTTGCTTAATAGTCAATACTGACATCCGTCTCAACAAAATTCCCATGCAGTAAAAAATATACTCAAGTACAGAAGGACAAAGGGGCTAAGCCTCAGGGAGCGAGTGGGGGCGTGCCCCGAGAGGTTAAACTGTTTTTACACAACACGCTGGGGGGAAACACGACTTGAAGAAAGTCTGTCGTCGCGGCTCTGGGAGCAAACGTCCACGAAGCGGAAAGACTAGTCTCCGCTCGACACTGGCAATAGAACCATTTTCCCACAGGAAAGTACAGTGTGTATCCCCACATAGTTATGTAATTAATAATACGCCCCCAGCGGCGGCCCACCCCCCAGCCAAGCTACATTTTGAAGTGTCTCTCGGGGCCAATACATTTATACTCACTATGTCTTTCCTCTGCTTATGTACTTGGGCGGTTTCTCCCCGTTCATCATATTCAGTGCGTAGTCGGCGTCGTAAGCTTTGAAAATCGCATAGAATACAAGAACATTCTGCGAAGAGAAAAATAACGCAACTAGTGTATCTGTCCATGTATCAGGGGCGGATCCAGGACTTTTTCAGGGAGGGGGGCAGGCTCCTCAGATTTTTTTTTTTAATGTCCGAATGTTACAGACAGGTGGACACATAGAAATGTATTATATTGTTACAGTAAAAATAATAACCCTCACAGAATGTCATCTATTTATTAATACAATAGTTATTTAATTTACTTTTCTTGTAACCTTGTGGTCATATTTGACAAGATATTGTCCTCAGTTTTTGGATATCCACAAGCTCTAAACAACAAGACAAATCAAAACACGTAGTTGGCCTAACTGAATTTTATATGTGGCTCAATGCAGATGCCACACGGTATTCGTAGTTCTGTTCTCACCAAGGCAAAAAACTTCCCTCACGGATGTGGAGTTGGGCCAAGAACAACAAATTACGACTCACGACTCTCCTTGTGATACATACGCGTACAAACATTCACCCAGGCAATGCTATACGATTTCCGGGTTGTTCTGTGTCCAAGGTGTCTTTTTTGCACACAGATGTGAATTGGACACAGACCCGTGGCTTTCTTCACCCGATGAAATAGGTAGAGCATAAACGTTCTCATGCATATGCAGCAAGGTATGAG